CTGGACATTGGTGGTATCTTGGTGTAGAACCTGGAGAGTGAGGGGCTTGGATTGAAGCAGCAGTTGCCAGGCAGTCCTGGTACAGGAAGTTCCGGGGTAGGGCCTTCATTCCCCAACTTGTGGGCAAGACAGCAGGAACCCACCCAAAGACACATGCAGGCTCTTGTGGGCATCTGTCTCCTGTTCCTGCCCCTTGGAGCAAGAGTTGGCAGGCTTTCACATGCTGGCATCTTGCTACGAGTCTTTGGGTCTCTGGTAGCATCAGTACCGCACACAAGGAGCATGGTTTTACCAACGGACATTCACAGTATTTACTTTCCTTCACTCTCCAGGTTCTATACCAAGACACTGCCAATGTCCAGTCTTTGTGTGTGTGTGTGTGTGTGTGTGTGTGTGTGTGTGTGTGTGTGAGAGAGAGAGAGAGAGAGAGAGAGATGGAGTCTCGCTGTGTGGCCCAGGCTAGAGTGCAATGGCGAGATCTCGGCTCACTGCAACCTTCCCTTCCCAGGTTCAAGCGATTCTCAGCTTCCTAAGTAGCTGGGATTACAGGCGCCTGCCACCACACCCGGCTAATTTTTTTATTTTTAGTAGATATGGGGTTTTACCATGCTGGCCAGGCTGGTCTTGAACTCCCGACCTCAGGCGATCTGCCCACTTCGGCCTCCAAAAGTGTGGTCTTAGAGGAGAAGGCAAGGATGAGCAGCATGGAGCTCAACTCTCTTCCCCCTCCCCACAGGCCAGACCTTCCCCAACAGGTGGAAGGATTGTCCTCAGGGGAAGGACATTGACATGGCTTAGGCACAGGGTGTAGGGCGTCGTTAAACTAAGTCCTCACAGTGGCAGCAGTGCTCTAGATGTGTCAACAGGTGTCTTGGAGTCCTCTTCTCCCGCCCTTCTTGTCTGAAAAAACACCACCCAGAGACAAAGGCACAAGGAAACATTGCTTCCTTGCTTTTTGCCCAGTTTGGAGTCATCAGGTCTTACTGTGGCACTTTTGCTTTTGTTTTCCATCTGAAATCAAACCAAGGCCTAAACCACCCACCCTCATCAGAAATCTTATTTGTTCAGAAATTTAAAATCCTCCTAACCTAGTCTATATGATTATGATTTACCTCAGATTTATCGGTCCAGTACTTTCCATGGCATCAAACTGTCTCCCTCCGGGGATAAATTTGGGGATGAAGGCACAAGCATAAAATTGCTTGAGTCTCCCAGACCAGCAGGATTTACAAATCCTGGTGGTCTCTGTTCTGGCCCCCCTTCCAGACAACCAGGGAGTTCTTCATGTTTTAGCTCATGTGTTGCATTGTAAGCAACAATTTGGCATAGAGGAGGGACCAGATAGCTGTAATTACTGCATGCCATATATGCTCCACATAGCATGATACTCATACTACATATGTTCAATTCCTATCAAGGTTATTCAAAGTTTCATCTCCTGGTCTCGCCATTTAACATAAAAACTCAGCATGTTCCCATTACACTACATATTCTTAAAGTATTTCCTGAGGGTATGTCTGTTTGTGTATGTGTGTGCGTGTGTATTTTATAATTTGTCTTTTAGATATAAGTCTTACAGTATTCTCCCACTAGTTAATTAAAGAATAATGCTTGACAAAGAGTGAGAACAATCAATGTACTGATAAAGATGAAAAGCACTACAATACAATTTGTCAAGGCAATAAATAAATAAATTTGGATTATTTCCATGCATATATATACATATATATATACACACACACACACACACACTTTATTTTTTCTTTTTTGAGACCAAAACTCTATCACCCAGACTGGAGTGAAATGGCTCATTGTAACCTCCAGGTTCAAGTGATTCTCCTGCCTCAGCCTCCTGAGTAGCTGGGGTTACAAGTGCATGCCACCAGGCCTGGTTACCTGTTTTTGGATTTTTTTTTTTTTTTTTTTTTTTTTGAGACAGAGTCTCACTCTGTTGCCCAAGCTGGAGTGCAGTGGTGTGATCTCTGCTCACTGCAACCTCTGCCTCCCGGGTTCAAGTGATTCTCCTTCTTCAGCCTCCTGAGTAGCTGGGACTAAAAGCGCATGCCACTCGCCTGGCTAATTTTTGTGTTTTTAGTAGAGATAGGGTTTCACTGTGTTAACCAAGATGGTCTTGATCTCCTGATTTCGTGATGCGCCCACCTACGCCTCCCAAAGTGCTGGGATTACAGGCGTGAGCCACCGTGACCAGCCCCAATTGTTTTGTATTTTTAGTAGACACGGATTTCGACATGTTGGCCAGGCTGTTCTCGAACTCCTCCCCGCAAGTGATCCAATCACCTTGGCCTCCCAAAGTGCTGGGATTACATGTGTGAGCTACCACGCCTGGCTATACATACATTCCTAATTTCATGTAAATAACAAATCTGTATTGAAATTGGATCACACTCTACATTGTGGTTTGGAGCAGATCAAGTGTGTATTTTAACAAAGCTTTCAGGAGGATGAATTCATTTGAATATCATAAATGGTAAGCGTTGTTTTCAACATTGCAAGCCTTCAGTGTAAATGAAGGTAAATCTGAAAAATATACACTCAGAAACATTCCTTTAGAAATATAGACACTATTCATTTTTTGTTTAAATTTTTACAGATGCATCACAATGCTCATATTGGTTCTCTAGAATACATACATGACTGTATGTTTGGTTTAAGGTTATGACATGTTAGAAGTAGAGTAAAATACACTGGGCGCGGTGGCTCACACCTGTAATCCTAGCACTTTGGGAGGCCGAGGCGGGCGGATCACCAGGTCGGGAGATCGAGACCATCCTGGCTAACATGGTGAAACCCTATCTCTACTAAAAATACAAAAAATTAACCGGGCATGGAGATGGGCACCTGTAGTCCCAGCTACTCAGAAAGCTGAGGCAGGAGAATGGTGTGAACCCGGGAAATGGAGCTTGCAGTGAGCCGAGATTGTGCCACTGCACTCCAGCCTGGGTGACAGAGCGAGACTCTGTCCCTCCCCTCACCCCCCCACCCAAAAAAAAAGAAGTAGAGTAAAATACACTTTACTTTGCTATTTATCTTATGGTGTGGTAGGTTCAATCCTCAAGGTTCAACAATTTGCTTTTCTCCCTAAATCAGAAGCAGGGAATGGCTGTTTATGAGGACACAGAATGCAATTAAGCTTTTGTGAGTGCTAAAGGGACTACCTGGTGCAGATGAATGACATGTATCCAACCTAAATGGGAATGATAGGCTCATTGCCCCACCGCACTATCTTCCATTTCAGAAGAAACCGTTCAACCTCCTTGTCACTACCACTGTGATTCAGCTAGGTGTGATTTCCTTTCCAGGCTTCCATCCACTGCCCAGGCACATAGCCTCTATTAAACATAGTTAGCAAGGAGTGAATAAAAGATCACTTAGCCTAAAGAATTCTAGGTTTGGGTACACCAGCATTTCTACCTTCAGATATTAGACACTGTCCCACAGGTATCTGTATTCTTCCGAGAAAACGGTCAGGTGAAACTATTCCTCCATAGGAGGTAGTTTAGCAGATGTCTAACTCTACTTTAGGTGAAATACTCTGGGGAGGTAAGATATCAAGGGTCACAGAGAAATGCTTCCCAGAGAGTCTCCAAGACACTTGTGCATGCCAATAGCATCTACGTATGCAGATCATCACTCAATTAGACACAGTGAAAGATGTCAAAAAAGCCAGGCTACCCTAGAATGCCTTACCCTGGAATGCCTGCCTGAATCCTCAGAGGCCAGGAGAGGTCATACCTGAACAAGCTCTTGAAGCACTGTAATGTCACAGTGCAGAACCAGACTAACATTAATTCCTTTCATTAAGAATTCAGATACTAAGATAATAAACTCTGAGGAAGAATGTCATGAGGATCAAGTCACCCATACACTTTTAGTTACCCTTATTGATTCTTCAATTATGAGTCATAGCGTATCTGAAGGTCTCCATACCAAAGGTTGGATATCTTCATTAGGAAATGGATTTGAAGCTGCTAGAGAAAATACTAGCTTGGATGCAGTACATAATGATTTGCTCAGGCCTAAACAATGCCATACCTCTCAAGGACATCGAACAGGAAAGAGCCACCTATCTGCCCTCCTTGAGAGAACTGAGATGACATCGGGGTCCCATTATGACAAAAGACTTTCTCCTGAACTTATAAAGTCACAGAAGCTGCTGGCTTGTGCGCTCAGATAATTGCTTAGGCCTTCCATCACATTCTTGGCCTTCATCCACTTTAGCAAATCGGCTCTCCTAAAAGATGATCTGGCCCTCATAGGCATGTTAATGTATCCTCACTCCTCTACAGAGGTCCCTCTAGTTGTAGGCAACGGTGTTTAGAATTTTTGTGTATTGAGGACCATGTGAATGACACTGGCTTCAGACAGACGGTCCCTGGAACTGGCCTGTCCATTGCAATCTAACAATGCTGCTGTAAATGTCACAGCCCCATAACACAGGGACAGCCAGATTGCCTAAAACTCCCAACGGCATATTCATAACATAAATGCCCCAAGGGTCTGCACTTGGCTGTGTCATCTTCTAGTCTTGTCCCCACTATGAGGAAACTGAGGCCCTGTCCTCTGTTTCCTGTACTAGGACTTCCTGGAAGCAGTTGGCTTAGTCCTGGTCTCTCACTCAGCAGATACTTCACTAAGACTTTGCATTTGTCCATTGCTTCTGCCAGGCCTCCGAGAAAAGGGTAGGAATGTCAACTTGTGTTGGGCGACTTTTCCTTCCGCAACTGCTGGGGCTTACAGGGAGAAAACGTTCACGGCTTTGGATGCTATGAAACTATTTCCTCATGATGGCAGTATTGTGCGAGAAAGGCCAGCTAATTTTGTTCCAGTCGCTCCTCTCCCGCCCATCACGTTTCAAAAAAAAGGCCAAGAAGAGACAAAGATACCAGAAACTCTGGTTACCTAACATTTTGCTACATTTGTGTAAAGGTATTCCACTTTTGGCATTTATTGGATATTAAACTGAGGTGTCATCCACTCACCCTCATCAAGCATCTCCTCTTTTCAAGAATTCAGTTTCCGCTCAACCAAGTCTTCTCATTTCTACTCTTCTTCACTCAGCATTGTGTCTGCAGTGTTCTATTATGATATCACATTGCCTTGTATTGGGGACCAACTTCAGGGATCCATGTCTAAAGAGAAAGAAAAAAAAAGATGTTGACATTTAAGGTCTTGGAGGAGAGCCAATCTAGGCACCAGGCCACGTGTTTCTTCTCCAGACTCGCTACCTAGGTTCCCTGGAAGTTTTACTCCATGTTCAGACCTAGTCAGTAGGCCTTGTATGTTGAGAGGGAGGCCGCTATTTAGTGGGGCTCTAACATAAGAGTCCAGATAACTCTCAAGCTTGACAGACACATACAACCCCACTTGCATGTACACAAATACAGGAATGACTATAAATGCTAATCAGATAGATCCCAGGAATTTGTTTTACGGTTTCATTATATAACATTGTAACACAAACATTTTCCTGGTTCATTAAGCTGCAACGGCTTACAACTATGTCCTATGAGTTTACTGTGTATGTGTGTTACTGTTTATCAGTTAAGAATCAGTCCTATATTTTCACATTAGTAACAAAGAGGTGGGATTTGCAAAGAAGTTAAAAAGATGTGGTGATCAAGAGAAAAGCAATGCCATACAACTGTATATTAAACACTGAAGGCTGGGCGCGGTGGCTCACGCCTGTAATCCCAGCACTTTGGGAGGCCAAGGCAGGTGGATCACTTGAGGTCAGGAGTTCGAGACCAGCCTGGCCAACATGGCGAAACCTTGCCTTTACTGAAAATATAAAAATTAGCTCGTGTCACATGCCTATAATCTCAGCTACTTGGGAGGCTGAAACAGTAGAATCGCTTGAACCCAAGAGGTAGAGGTTGAAGTGAGCGAAGATCGCACCATTGCACTCCAGCGTGGGCATCAAGAATGAGAATCCGTCTCAAAAAATAAAAATAAAAAACACTGATACCCTTTTTCATATTTGCTCCCACTTTCAATACATAGATAAAAGTTCTGTATATACAGTCACAATATATACAGTCAAACGCCACAATAAATTTACATTTTAATTGGATTCAGGCCAGGCGCAGTGGCTCACGCCTGTATCCCAACATTCTGGGAGGCCAAGTCGGGCGGATCACTTGAGGTCAGGAGTTTGAGACCAGCCTGGGCAACATGTTGAAACCCCATGTCTACTGAAAATACAAAAATTACCCAGGTGTGGTGGCGAGTGCCTATAATCCCACCTACTCCTATTCGGGAGGTTAAGGCAGGAGAATCGCTTGAACCAGGGAGGCTGAGGTTGCAGTGAGCTGACATCACACCACCTGGGCAACGGAGGAAGGGTCCATCTCAGAAAAAAAAAAAAATTGGATTTAGCTATGTATTGTAAAGTAAAACTTTTCATTCTAAAATTTGGTTCCTGACCAATTTTTGACATTGTCATATAAAATTTGCAATTTCTTGATTTTAGACAATAAATTATATACAAAGAACTTTGTGATTGTACTAGTCATTAAAAAATAAGTTCTGATTGCTCTTTTTAATCTAAAAATGTGTTTATACATATATAAACACATAAATATTTACATATCATATAAATATGTATGTTATACATGCTTATACCTCTGAAAATGAGGATTTTAAAATTATTCTTGAGATTTTAGCTTTAATTCTTACCTTCAAATTTTATCTTTAAAAACTCAAAAGAAGGAAAACAAAATTCAATACATGATAATTGAAATAGGCATCTCTCACATGCAGTCACTTAGATGTGAACCCAAAGAAAACTGTAAGACGGATGTATTCACACCACTCACATGCAGCTACAATGTTTCATTAATGTCTCTGTTTATATAACTATGAATTAAAGATATGAATTTGTGGGCCAAAAATATCATATTCAAGCATATACTCACTATAACACTGACCATGATTTAAAATATAAGCCACTGACCGTGTGTGGTGGCTCAAGACTGTAATCCCAACATTTTGAGAGGCTGAGGCAGGAGGATTGCTTGAGCCTGGGAGTTTGAGACCATCTCGGGCAATTAAGCGAGTCCCTGTCTCTACAAAAAATACAAAATATACCTGGGCATGGTGACATGCACCTGTGGGCCCAGCTGCACAGGAGGTGGAGGTGAGAGGATCACTGGAGCCCAGGGAGGTCGTGGCTGCTATGAGCCATGATCATGCCACTGCACTCCAGCCTGGATGACAGGGTGAGACCCTGTGTAAAAAAAACATATATATGGCATTTTAAAATCTGTATTTGCATATAAACAGATATGAATACACACACAGTCCCACACACATTTTACATTCAATATACTTGGATTCATGCTGTTTGAAATTTTGTACAAAATCTTCAGCATCACCTTATAATCTTTGAATATATCCATATCAATATATACTTTTCAGTGCTTGAGTTTTTTTATATTTTACTCTAGAAGAAATTTAAGAAATTATAAGCAGAAAACATATGGTAGGTCAAACCTAGTGAGAAGAAATAATCACTTTTAAAATATCTATGCTATGTATTAGGATCTCTTTCCTATGCACATATAATAGGTACATTTATAAATTCATGTTCAAATTCTCCTGTAGCATAATTGTTAAAACAAGTTTTCTTCACTGATAACTTGAGTACTTTTCAAATATAATTAGTTATTCTTGGAAATAATGATAGGTTTAAAAATATTGACAATTTTTAAAACTGTGTTGGTAAAATTCATGTAACATAAGAATAACCATTAAAATGTTCAAATTCAGTGGCATTTAGTACATTCACAATGCACTACCTCTATATAGTAGCAAATCATTTTCATTACCACAAAAGAAAACCCTGAACTCATTAAGCAGTCATTCCCCATTCCACTCTATGCCCAACTCCTAGCAAACACTAATCTACTTTCCCTCAGTACTGATCATCACAATAAGTAGCCTTTTTTGTCTTTCTTCTTTCACTTAGCATGTTTTCAAATTTTGTCCATGTTGTAATACATGTCAGTGCTTCATTTCTTTTTGTAGCTGAATAATATCCATATGTATATATCACATTTTGTTTATCCATTCATCAAGTGATGGATGTTTGCTTATGTTCACCTTTTGGGTATTGTTAATAAATATATACAGTGAGTATATACATGTACTTGTTTATTTGTTTTCAATCATTTGTGGTATATACTTAGGAGTAGAGTTGCTAGCTCATACGGTTCCTTCTATGTTTAAATTTTTGAAGTACTGATAAACTGCTTTTCGTAGCATTTCCACCAACACTCTAGAAGAGTTCCAATTTCTCTACCACCCAACTGATATTTGTTCTTTTTAAGTAATTCCCATTCTAGTGGGTGTTAATTGGTATCATGAGGTGGTTTTGATTTACGTTTCTGAAAAGACTAATAATGGAAGCATCTTGCATAGAACTGTTGGTTATTTGTATATCTTCTTTGGAGACTTGTATATTTAAGACCTTTGCCTGTTTTTAAAATTTACACATAATTGTACATATTTATGTAGTACATATATTTTCATGCATCCATAAAATGTGTGATAACCAAAAAAGGATAACTGGGATACTCAACACCTAATGCATTTATTATTTGTTTGTGTTGGGAACATTTCAAATGTTCTTTTAGGTATTTAAAAATAAGCATCAAATTATTGTTAACTATGGTTGCCCTAACTATGCTATTGAACACTAGAACTTACTCCTTCTGTCCAGCTGTATTTTCATAGCCATTAACCAACCTCTCTTTATTCCCCTCCCTTCCTAACTTCTGGTACCCACCATTCTACTCTATAGTTCCATGAGATGGATTATTTTAGCTCCTGTATATGAGTGAGGACATGTGATAATTTGTCTTTCTGTATCTGGCTTATTTCACTTAACATAGTGTCCTACAGTTCCATTCATGTTGCTGCAGGTGACAGGATTTTATTCCTTTTTCTGACTTAATAATCTTCCATTTTATATGCATGCCACATTTTCTTAATCCATTCATCGATCAATGAACACTTAGGTTGACTCTATATCTTCGCTATTGTGAATAATGATGCAATGAACATGGGAGTGCATGTATCTCTTTGCTGTACTGATTTCCCTTCTTTTGAATATATACTCAGCAGTGGGATTGCTGCATCATATGGTAACTCTGTTTTTAGCTTTTTGGAGAAACTCCATCCTATGTCCCATAGTGGCTGTATTAATATACATTTGCAGCAACAGTATACAAGCATTCCTCTTTGCTTCCTAACCAGCATCTACTATTTTCTGTCTTTTTAGGAAGAGCCATTTGAACTGGGGTAATATGGTATCTCACCATGGTTTTGATTTGTGTTTCCCTGACGGTTAGTGATGTTGAACATTTTTTCATACATCTGTTGGCCATTTGTGTCTTTCTTTCAGAAATGTCTATTCAGATCATTTGTCCATTTGTAAATCAGATAATTTCGTTTTTGGTTATTGAGCTGAGTTCGTTTTACATTGCGATTTGTTACTCCATTGTTAGAGGAATAGTTTGCTAAGATATTCTCTCTTTCTGTAGGTTGTCTCCTCATTTTACTGTTTTCTTTGCTGTGCAGAAGCTTTCTAGCTTGATTTACTCTCATTTGTCCATTTTTGCTTTGATTGCCAGGGCTTTTCCGGTCTTATACAAAAAATCTTTGCCCAGAACAATGTCTTAAAGCATTTCTGCAATCTTTTCTTCTAGTAATTTCATATTTTCATGTCTTTTCTTAAATTTGTTGAGCCTTGTTCTGTGGCCTAACATATGCTCTACACTGGAGAATGTTCCATGTACTGATGACAAGAATGTACATTTTAGAGCAATTGGATGAAATAATTTGTAAATGTCAGTTAAGTTCATTTGGTCTAGAGTATAGTTTAATGCCAATGTTTCTTTGTCTAGATAAGCTGTCCATTCCTGAAAGTGGGGTACTGAAGTCTCCCTGTATTGTTGTACGCCATTCTATCTCTCTGTGTAGATCTTCAAATGTTTGCCTTATTTTGCTCTCCAAATATCTGCGTGTTCCAGTGTTGGGTAGATACATATTTCCAATTGTTATATCTTCTTGTTGTATTGGCACTTTCATTGTTATACAGTGACCTTCTTTGTCTCTCTTTACAGTTTTT